AGGTGCCCAGCCTCTCACTGTGGTGTCCAGTGGTTAAAAATAAAGCGGCGAGCTTGTAACTGCTCGTTGTGTTTCACTGCAATAAAATCCACTCCTATGACTGCTTTGTGAAAGAGGTGAAAGTGTTGGTTTTTTAATAACTGAGGGGAAGGTCCTTTTCTGCTTCTTGTGTTTGCACATGATGAAACATTTGGGTTTGCTGTTGCAAAAAAAAATAGCCGTTTCTAACAGAGATTTAAAGTACCTCTCTTGCCTATGGCTTTTGTAATAGGTTGGGTTTTTGCATTGCATTTGAGTGGAAACAAAACCTGATCAAGGAACTCTTTGAATTCTCACTAAGTTTTTTATTTGTGTAAAAATAAAGCGAGCATGTTAATGTTAGAGTACTTATCGTACAGAAGTTTATGCCTAATTTAATGTGTGATTAGATAGTCTAAACTCAGCTCCTAATTTCTACAGCAAATCTTGCAATCCTTTCATTTTCTGTTACTCAGACTGCTGTGGCAAATTTGGGACAGTTTTTTAGAGTGGCAGGACTAATCTGATTCATAAACGTATTCAAGAAAACTAATGTTCTGTTCTTCCATCTTGCAGTATGAGATGTACACTATTGAGAGGAATGCTGAAAGGACAGCATCTGCGGGCAGGCTGCTCTACGACATGTAAGTAATCAGAGCTGGAACTCTACAACTATGCCAGGTGCTTGTTTCCATAAATATCAGAGTTTCCAAAAATATAATGTGAGTGTTCTTGGAAATCCGCGTGGATAAATTAAGCAAAAAAGGTCGTATTAATTAAAAATAAACACTAAAAAGAAGGTTTTATTTTCCATTTGCTCATGCACATTCTTTCATAGAAAGGTTTTGTCTTGGAAACAGATTTTGAGATCATTGTGCATTCCTTGCCTCAAACTTTATTACAGGTTTGTGAATTTTCCAGACCAACCTGCTGTATGGAGGGAGATCAGCGTTATTACATCAGCATTAAGGAATGACTCGCAGGATAAGCAGACACAATTTTTAAGAGGTAAGGATTCTATTCAGCGAATAGGGAGAGTCCTGAAGGAATGTAAAGATAAGGCCTCTGGTTACATGTCTAGTGTGGCAAGTAAATGTCAGTCTTTTTAACCTTGCTTGTGGGCTGCACATTTTTTTACTCAGTTCAGCCTTAGAGACTTCATTCAGTATGTTAGGCTTAGGAAGGCAAAGGGAGCTGGTTCCCATTGCTTTGTCTCTGATATGGGTAGACTAAGTCTGCCAGAACAACAAGCACTTAGAAAAGAGATTGCATAGGGAATGACTGGAATGGAACTTACTGGATCATCATCTCACTGATTGCAGAGAACAATGAACGATCATAAAAATGGGGTGAATTTGTACATATGAAGTGAGGGTTATGAAAATGGGCAGTGACCAGAAGGGCTTGGCATTCACTGCTAGCAACCACAGGCAGTTTTGAAAGCAGGATTTACACCTGACAAATTATAATCTGCTGTTTGAATACGTGCTTCAGAAGCTCTAAGGATAAGCAATGTGTAACTCTGCATACAGGCTATTCCAGTTAATGAAACATTTGCTTTTTCATGGGGTGTGTTTATTTTTCAGAGAGAATACATAAAGCTTCCAGGGAGAATATGTTGGTTTCTTTTGAGTGTCTCATTGGAAGCTTAAATTGAAAATACTACTTTTTAATAATGAAAGTATTAATTGTAGAAGTGGAATGTAAGTAAAAAAATACATTAACATTCTTGAAAAAGCATCTTAAAATGTCAAATATTTAAGTATTAGGATTTTCAGTATTCCACTCGTTAGCAGTCTTACTTGTTAATTCAAGTTCTGTGCACCCGAATAAACACAGATAAATACTCATATGGTCTTCTCTGAAAGAAACAGACATTTTTTTCCAGGCATAGATATTAAAAGCAGAAAAAAGTATAAGGAAATCTTTTTCACTCTGCATGGCAAGGTGATGTTGACTAGTCTTTTACCCTTTGTCAGTCACCTTTACAAGTCAGACATAGCAAGTTAAACATTTTAATTTTTTTTTAAGGATTATTTGAAACCCTTCCTGGTCGGGTCCAGTGTGAAATGTTACTGAAGGCCACAGAACAGTGTTTTAACACATTAGAAAGGGCAGAAATGCTACTACTACTTCTGCGACGTTTCCCAGAGACTGTGGTGCAACACGGGGTAAGAGAAGAGAAGCACATAGTAACTATTCAGGATATTGGCATTCTGTTTCTTGAGATTTTGCTGAAATGTATTTTCCTTTTCCTAGCGAGAGGGTGAGTCTTTTTATTCATGTTTAATTGCGGCTAGTAGTTCAGATTGCTGTATCTTGAGGTTACCACCAGGAAAGAATTGGGCAGAAAACAAATGGAAGCAAATAAAACCATTTTTTGTTTTGTAAATGCAAAGAATATTCCATGCTTTTTGAAAAAGCAGAATAGCACAAAAAAGAGCGTAGAGGAGTATTATGGTCTAAGAAAGAATATTGCTTCAGCTTTTTGTCAGTAAACTCTCATTGAGGGCAGAGTGCTTTGAAGTTATGACTAGACTCTAACAAGCAGCGTGTTTGCTTTGACTTATGAAACTACAGCTGGTGCTCTTTAAATGATGACCTACTTCATTTAAGGACAGTTTAAGGATAGTTTAAAAATAGTTTAAAGACTATGAAACCTGTTAGTTCTGAGACTGGCTTACACTAATATGTTCTAGCTCATACTAGCATCAGGCAGAGTGCGCAGTCAATTACTAACTACAGCTCAGGTGACAAGCTGCAACTTTAAGGCCTGGTACTTCCATCGCTTTCACCTGCCTGTACATGTCTTTACGGATACAGTTGCATGCACAATTTTTCTCTCTTGGTCTTGTTTTGCTTTTCACCTGTTATTAAGTAGGGATAGTTTAACTATGTATTTAGAGGCTAGCACATGCAGTTGCCCTATAGTGAATTGCTATTCATGCATCCACTGAATTATTGTTCAACTGCATTGAATTGCAGTTCAAAAAGTTTCTAGAACCACTGGTCCAGTGTTTGATTTTCACCTCTGCTTACACAGGTAGGCCTTGGAGAAACATTATTAGACGCTGAAAGTATTGAAGACCAAGAATCCCCAGTGAATTGTTTTAGAAAATTATTTGGTAAGAAAATATTAATGTTCTTGTTTTATTATACAACTTTTTAGTATGGCAAGATTCTGAGTTCAGTAAACTACTTTCAAGATGCTAAAATTAGAAAACTGCTTTAGTCAGAAGAGGCCAAGGCTACATTAGGCCAGGCTAACCATATGGTACAAATTGGTATTACAGTCATTCACGTGAGGTTCTTTGTGATCCTTTGCGGTGTATGGTCAGCCAGAGATGGAGGCTTACATTGCTGATTGAGAAACCTTACTTAGGACAAATAGAACAAAAAACCCCACAAACCTAAAGTTTTTTTTGGTTTGTTTTCTATTTTAGTTTGTGATGTTCTTCCTCTAATAATTAACAACCCTGATGTTCGACTTCCTGCCAGCTTATTATATAAATATCTGAATAAAGCAGCGGAATTTTATATTAACTATGTAACTAGATCTACACAGACAGAAAGCCAATATCAAGGTAAGAATATTTTTTAAAAACTAACCTTTCTTAGAGTGTATTTTAGTATTACTGAAGTGACGTCCATGAATGAAGAATGCATTACTTTTATGTAATGTATCCTGTAGACAAGGATTAATAGTAGTATTTGACATTTCTTAGTTCTTTGATACCAAAATACATCATAATGCTTCAACTACTTAGTCATGATGCTCATGATGCTTCAACTTATGTACTGAGAGGTAGGACAAGAAGTCCAAGATCTCCTTATCCAGCCTACCAGCTCTCTTGTAAAAGGAGGCAGAAATGCCTACTGCTCCCTGTTAGCCTTCTCAGTAAAGAATGGTTAGTCTGAAAGCTCCGATGTACATTTTTACATGTCTCCTTCTTGAAAATAAATCAGTTGGTTTGATTTCTTTATGAAGAGAAAAATGTGCTGGTTTTCCTAGGTTCACAAGATTCCTCTGATATTATGTCTCCAAGCAAGCGTAGCTCTCAGAAATATGTAATAGATGGTCTCACAGAGAAGTCATCCCAGATTACAGATCCTTGGGAGAGGCTATTTAAAATATTGTCTGTGGTGGGAATGAGGTGTGAATGGCAAATGGACAAGGGAAGAAGGTGAGAAATGTGTACTTTTCCCGGTATTTCTTCTCAAGGAGAATTTGGCTTTTTAATTCTTAAGGAGATGGGTTGAAGAAAGATTTTAACATGAGCACATTTTGTGTAAATTCAGTGCAGCTTTTCTTTCAAGACTGTACAATATAAAGCAAAAACATGAATCCAGGGAGCACTTTCAAATTAGTCTCTAAACTAAATCTTTGTTGATGGAAGTCATGCATAAGAACTATAGTACTGTGGGGTATCCTTCCCTAGGTGCCTCAGCAAAGAGACACATGGTAAATGTTTAGTGAAGCTTCACTGGCGTGCATTCCCAGCCTCCACTGACTTGCAGCTGGGGAATTTCCTCAGCCAAAACACCAAGTTTTTCATATTCACTGTGCATTCTTTCCTTTAGTTTTGGAGTCTGGGTAACATCCTGAATTCTTTTTGTCTCTCTTCCTCAGAAGTTTTGGTGATATTTTGCACCGAATGAAAGACCTCTGCAGGTACATCAGTAACTTTGATAGTGATGCACATGCGAAATACAAGAATCAAGTTGTGTATTCCACGATGTTGGTCTTCTTCAAAAATGCATTCCAGTATGTCAGCAACATCCAGCCATCGCTCTTTCAAGGTTAGTTTCTAATGTTTCAACTTCTGTAAAGAGTTCTTTGTGATTTCATTCCTAATGTCTGAAAGATCTTTTCTCATTAGTCTTTTGAAACTGTCATCTGACAAAGTGACATGGATCTTTTTTAAAATTCTCCCAAACCATTAGTCTTGCCAGCAGAAGTAGTGGATCAGACCAAAGATCAATCTAACTTAGCATCGTGGTTTCAGCCTTGACCAGCAGCAGTTAGTTGTCTAGCAAAGAGAAAAGTAACAGACCAGATGTTATGAGAAACATCCCTAGGGTTGATTCCTACTCTTCCATCAGCATCATGTTTCATTTTCTCCTCTGGTTGTATTTCTTTGAAGCTGACATTTTTGTGGCTTCCTTCAGTCAAAAGATTGTACAAAAAGCTTCCACAAAGTAAGTGAAGATGTTTTTGCATTAGGAACACACAACAAATTTATAATTAATCAAAGAAAAACTGAATAGGAAAAGATTTCGTGAAATTCACAAGCTTCCAACTTGGCTTTCTTTGTACAGTTTAAGCATAATCTTTTAAGGTGTGTTTTGCACATTAATCCCAATTTGTAATTAATGTGTAAATTGAACATTTAAAGTATGAATGTTACCTGTGCTTTTTCCTACCCGCTCAAATCTGCATTTGGGGCATATCAAATTGCTTGGAACACCTTGGATTGCTTCTTCAGGGATTGACTGGACTTCTCAGGGATGGCCCAGAAGCTGAGGGAAGTTCTTTAACCTTCAGTTTGTTTAGAACTTATTGAAATAAATAGCATCATAAAGAGGGATTTCCAACTCTTAATAGAGTGCATTTCCTGCTTCTTTGCTCACTGCTAGGGAATTCCTTACAACAATAACAATTGTCACCATAGGTACATAGTACTTATTAACACTACAATTACTTATTCATGATAAAATTACAATTTTAATTTTGTGTGTTGTGTTCATAAGTTTCATCACAATTTCCTGCATGGAGCAAATCATCATTTGAGTAATGAAACACTCAATACAAATGATGGGTTTTAAACAACTTTACAGAAAGTTGGGTAATCAGTTGAACAGTGTCAGTAGATAGCTAAGCTCAGAAGACAAATGCCATGGCAACTTGTATGCAGAGAGGTAGTCACTTTAACAAATACAGGAACTAATTGAGTTGAGTTTTTTGTTCTATCCAGAGGAAAGAAGAGTTATGGCGGGGCAGTGAGATACTTTAGCTGTGCATATAGTTTTAGCTGCTTGATTCTGAATTGAGGAAGAAAGGAAGTAGAGCACTGGTGAAAATGTTCCTTTCTAAGTTGTACAATTGAGTATGTTAAAGCTCATGTTTTCAGACTGAACCACCAAAAAGAGAATGTATACTGAGATAGCAGAGAGCAGTCCCTTCGGTGCAGGATTTCTGGTATCCTCTTTCATTTGCTGACATCAGGAAAATATTTCCAAGACATCTCTTACTCATTTCTGCTTTAGCATTGAAGTCCAGTGGTATTCAGTGCCTTTCATATCCTTTCTATCATTAAGGTTTTTCCTCCTCTTTGGAGGGCTCACTGTAGAAATGTAGAATCCTATGTATTTTAGAAGTGTAGTGGTGGGGAAAAAAGCTGTCTTCTCCTTAATCCAGTAGCTCTGAGCTTTGATCTGTGACTTTCTTCTCATGTGCATGGACTTAGAAGAAACCTCTTGAGAGAAAACTTTTCAATGAATTTCTCTTACATAATTCATATCTGCCTTGCTGGAGACTTGAGAAATGAATGAGGCAATTCACACCTCTCATAACTTTCAGGCTGCCTGCAGGCTTGACAGGAGTTGCTATTTGGGCTGATGCTTTTAGGGGTTTATTTATAACACTCTGTGCTAGAAATCAATTAAAAACTCTGTAAGTGTAGATTCTAGAGCTCGTTTAGACAGAAAAACACAACATTGCTCTTTGTATGGCTGTGTAGTTTTCAGTAATGTAAGAGAAGGTTTGCAGCCCAAGTCAACGGTAAGGCTAGGTTTTGTTTTGGTTTAGGACTGGAAGTTTTGGAATAAAGGCTACAGTGCACTTGCCTGCTATTGAGTAGAGAACATTTCTTTGGAAAGCAAAGCACTTAACTGGTATTCATTCAAATCAGTATGAATAAAAGAAAAACCCACTCCTTTTTTCTCAGGTGTTAGAAGTAGGCAGCTCTTGAGATTCTAGTGATAAAACTCTTCCAGCATCCCAGTTGTGGTACTTTCATACCTGTTTCTCATGGATGCTATTTTCTACATTATGACTTGGCTCTATTTTCAGTTCACGCAGGTTAGATTCCAGCACAGTAGAATACATGATGGTACTACAGGAGAGGTGATTTCAATGTGTTGTAGCCTTTGTGTAGGAGACATTTCAATGGTGGTATTTAGTTTGAACCTAGTCAAAGGAGATAACATTATTTGATAAGTATGCCAGGTTGGTTGTTTCTTGTAACATTAACTTCTGTTGTAGTGGACTCCTTACACATCACATTTGAGTAGATGGGAAAAGCTTAATATGGGTTCTTTTATGTCAAGAGATGAAATGGATTTTCCTTATACTAAGCTCTCAAATTAGTTCTTTGCAATTATGAATGAGGCCTTAGCCTCATATCTTTCTGCAAATAGAAATAGAAGAAATGCGCATACTGAAAATACTTGTCCACACTACTGTCTTACCTGGTAGACATTTCAAAAAGGGAAAACAGATTAATGGATTTTCCCTTTCCTTTATATTTCTCTTTGTCTGAGCTTTGCACATCTATATACAACTTCATTGTGTAAAAGGAGAAAATGTTTTCAGAAGGAAAGCTTTCTCAATAGTGGCCATGTACCAATGTTGTTTGAGGTTAAGAAGTGTTGCTACTATTTTATATCTAATGAAACTTAAGCACTGAGGTCTGAAATAACAGGTACCAGATCCCACCGGATGTTCTGTGACACCAGTGGAAATAGAAATTATGTCTTCTGTGCTTCAAAATGAGGCTTCTCTAGAGGCTTTGGGGAGTGATGATGGGCTCTGGCAGTCAATTAAAAGTTTAATTCTGTACACTGAAATCAGTGGGGGCAAAGCTGACACTGAGTGATCCTACTAGGGAAATTTTGTGATAAAATACACTCACTTCTTTGAGGCATCAGTGCCTGTCACCGTATTGCTTTGGTTTCTCATGAGAATGTTTTGAGAATATTGTTGTGCTTTGCCATGTTTGTGGCTGTTAACTTCAGAGTCATTTGTTCTGTTCACCTGTTGAATAGTTGTACTTATATAAAAGCAAATAATGGTTGATGAGAGAACACCTGCTGCCTGAGTATATCTTGTGACTGCTCAGTAAGAAAAGGATTCAAAGATATTCTGAAGCTCTCAGGCAAACTCTTGTGACATCTGGTAAATGCATTCTGACCTTTACCATAAGGCTGCTTTGAGAAAACCATAGCTATACCAGCATAGTTTAAGCTTATACAACTTAAGTGAATTAATTTTAGATTGTTTTCTCTAGCATTATAATCATTACTTGTGAAGGAAACAAAACCAGCTTGATGTAGGCATGAGACCTTTCAGATCAGTTTAGAGCAATCTTGAATTAATTTATCTTTAAATCCAGGTCCAAATGCTCCAAACCAAGCCCCACTGGTTCTTCTTGAGGATGTGACCAACATCTATGGTGATACAGATATTGATCGTAACAAACACATACACAAAAAGAGGAAACTTGCCGAAGGAAGAGAAAAAACAATGGTAACTTTTCTAGACTTCTTCGTTTGTAACGAGAATGGCATTGGTACTGGAATTTAGACAATAGCGGTTTTGACACAGATGTAGTAGACATATTTTTAGAGCTACCCTGGAATAGCCATTTATGACCACAATTTGCAAACAGATTTTTTTGGCTAAAGCTAGCAAGAATAAAAAAATTTTTGTAGCAATTGCTGTAGACACGTATGTGCTGATGTGAAGACTTTAACTTGAAAGGAGTTCAGCAGAGACTGCAGAAGCTGTTAAAAATGGTAGCTATAGATATTCTACAGCTAAACCTCCAAATTAATTGACTTTTCATGATTAGAACTGTGAATACTGTTTATCACGCTATACCACTGAGTTTCTTGGTAGCAAAACAGATTGTTCTATTAAAACAAGTGAAAAGTCACTTAAAAGCACTTAAACTAGGACCTTGGCATCTCTAGCACAGAATTGTTTTCTTGTGTTCAGTGGAACTTCTGTGACTTTAGAGTCCTTTGAAATAAGTATAAATTAAGAAGTGAATCTTTTTGTTTTATACTGACTCTTAAGCAGAGCTCAGATGATGAGGATCCTTCTGGGAAGGCACGAAGTCGCCATATTACAGTAAACAAGGCAGATCTTGCAAACTCTATTGAAGTATTAGAGAGCTTTAAACTGGCAAGAGAGAGCTGGGAGCTGCTCTATTCTCTGGAATCACTCGACAAAGGTAAGACTAACTGCAGGCAGAGTTGCATTTAGGCTTCATTGCTGTGCATAGAAGTAATTTTACTATTGTTAAAATAGAATTCCTGTCATTGTGAATCCTTAAAATTGAATTTACTTTGGGTCCTGAGTATTTTTGATCCAAGTTCCAATAAGAAGCTTTATCAGTTGTTGCATTTCTAAATATTTTGTTCCTGGATTTCGTTTCATTGTTCATGCATCTGTGGTTATTCATCCCCACTTCTCTTGGAAGCAGCTTTTACTGAAGGAGCAGTTGGTTAGTGGTAGCGCTGATAATACTCAGTGAGGATGTGCTGCTAATGGCTGCTTTAGTTCATGCTTTACTGTGTCTCTCCCTTTCTGATAATATCTGGTGATAATCTTGAAAACAAATTTCTCTTCTAAAAAGCAGGCAAATAGTACCACCTAGTAGCTTTTAGATTTGTTGGACGCTGTGAAGAGAAGTATAATCAAAAGATGATTGTATAGGAAGAGAGTATCCTATATTTGAAAGATTTCACACTTCCTGTTTTGTTTTTTCATTTTTAAATTCAGCTAATTTTTTCTAGATAATTGATTTTTAACCCAAAGCTGTGAAATGCTTCATTTTCTCTTTTACTTTTTCTTCTCTGACCACTTATGCAGAGTTCACCAGAATTTGTTTGTCATGGAAGACAGACACCTGGCTTTGGTTAAGAATCTTTCTTACAGACATGATCATCTACCAGGTAAAAAAATAAAGTAAAAACTAGTAAAAATTACACCATTGCTCTTCCTTCTAGTGAATAGCTGTTCTGATTAGCCAGTTTGACTGCTTTAAGTGTCTACTGATTTTGTCCTTTAAAGCATGACCCTTTTGGGGATGGAATCATACCATTCTTACCACAATCTAGGTACCCTACTTAAGATATTCCTGTCCCTATAGCTGTTCGTTGATTCCAGCTAGTTTTGGCATATGGAGAAGACCTCTGCATTGGCATTTTGACCAGTAGATATAGTGTTATGGAAGAAAAGTGCATTTTATTCATCTGTCAGTGCATTCTATTGGAACACAATCAGAGAGAAGAATTTTCAAACAGCAGACGATTTTAACATCTCAATTAAAATTTATCATTCTCCTCAGAAATTAGGCTGACTGTACTCATTCCAAATACCATCTATAGAACAAAGCCTGTTCTTTTATATTTTTCCTTTGGGGAGGTCTTTTATTTTTGCCTGTACTTGTACCTGAACAAGAGCTATTTCAAACTTCATCAGTCTAAATAAAGTAATCATTAGCTCTGAAGAGCATGATTATTTGTTTCAGTTATAAATGTGATTTTGTAAACAGGCTTTTTAAAGCAGAATTCTGTTTGTCTTCTCACTGCCTTGCAAGTGATCGATCCACACTCCTGTACACAGCACATCACTGGACAGTGTTCTGCTAGATTGAAATTTTGAAGCCCTGTTACTTGGACATGCTCTGTTTTGAAAGCTTTCTGTAAGGGAATTTTTATTTCTATCTTTCTACCCATTGTGTACAGAAGACCCTAACACTGTCTTTCTGTATCTTTTTTAAAGGGGCAGTACAAAAAAGCAATTAGCAGCCTACATCACTTGGCAGCTCTTCAGGGCTCTCATTCTCCACAGCAGATTACAGGACAAGGATCACTAGAAAACCAGAGAGCGCTAATCCAGTTAGCAACGTGCCACTTTGCGCTTGGAGAATATCGGGTACGTAACAGCATTCCACACACTGGTCTTTTATCTTCTGGCCCTGTGGTTCCCGTTTGTCTTCTTCATTTGAATTTTCCCGTTAGCCTACTTTCAACAGAGTATCGAACATAAGCCAGGGTCTACTGAAAAATCCATGCTTCACAGGGAGAAGAATTGCACTTCCTCCATTAGCACCTCGCTTATGTAATCTATTTGGTAGTTATGATTTGGGGGGTTCAGTTATGATTTTCCATAGCTACAAGTGTTTGAGTTGTCTGTAAATTTAACCTTAAATTTAAATTCCTTAACTTTTCTGAGAAAGTTTTAAATATTGAGGGGAAATTCTTGGGTATAGGCTTCATGTGGCAGGGGAAAAAACAGGTTTATAGAAAAGAAACTTCTATGATCATCTTAGAAAATAATTAGTTATCAACTGACAGTATAAGAGACTCCAGAACAATATTGTCTGGCCTGACCTCTGAACTTGCTTTACCTTTGCAATACATATTTTGTGTTTTTAATATTACAGGAATTCATGGTGGTCTGAGGTTAGTCAGTGTCAGCACTAATAATAAAGGCTGGGTCTCTTAGGATCTAACGTCATCCTAGTACTACTGGACAAGTCTTTTTGTCCCTTTCAGTTTACTACTTTTTCATTGGAAATGTGATAATAGTTCCCCACAGACCTCTTATTGTCTCTCGGAAATAGCATTAAAAACTAATTGCATTTCTGTCATGCTGCCAGATTGCCATTTTCCTTTCTATTTTTACTATGGACAGAACAAGCTTTTAAAAACTATTTTAAGAATTCATTTGAAAACTTAATCCTTCAAAATAAAATAGTTTTTGATTGCAGTTGTATTGATCTTACACTCTTGAAATGAAGAATTTCCAATACATATTTTTTCACAATTAAAATGACTTATGTAGGCCCTCAGAGATTGTTTAATTGTAAAATTGTCCTTTTGCTCAGCCAAACTAAGTTACGCATTAGGTCCACTCAAGTTCTAGCAGAGAATTTTGTCATTGTTTTTTTCTTTTGCGGTGTCTGAAATTTTTAATCATTATTAACATATCTGAATTTTAAGAACTTTAATTTAGGCTTAGCATTATCATGTCTCTCTTCTTCTTTTTATAGCAAACATGCGAAAAAGTGCTTGACCTCATGTGCTGTATTTTACTTCCAGTACAAGAAGGAGGTAAAATACAAGAGGAGCAACCTAAAGTAAAGTCTAAATTCAGGAAAGGTATGGAGTTGCTACTACCCTAAACTCAGTGTCAGGTCAATTTTAGTTCATGTGTTTCGGTTGAGTATATAATTCTTCTCTTTTTGTATTACGAAAAGGGAGGAAGTTCTTTATCCCCTCTTGGTTTTGTGAGTGGTTTTCCTGCTGGTACCTATTAAAGTATATTGGTGACAAAGTCCTACCACAGGAAAAGAGAAGTTAAGAAAAAAATTTAAAATGTGTAACTTCACGTTTTGAATAATTCGTAATTTACCTTCAAAGTTTTCCTCTCTACCTAAGATTTGGCAATTGTATATTCATTTTGCTCCATTCCAATTTCTTCCAAACTTAGATAATCATGAGACCCCTCGAGAAGCGTATGATAAACTGTTCTGTTGCAGGGTCTGATTTGAAGCTTTGGCCATGTACCAGTAGAGCTATCATGCCTTACTGCCTTCATCTGTTATTAGCTTGTTTCAAGGTAAGCTATAGTCAAGGCTTCAAATTCTCTCGTGTCTCTAAGGCCTAGTTTATGTATCTGGGGCCCTGAAACTGCATGGCCTTACCCGGTGGTGTGACTAGGTGTGAAGGGCTGTGCCTCCAGTGCTTCTCACCTAAGTGGGTTTGTGGAGGGTCTTTTGGGCGGGGGGAGGAGGGAGAGTGTTGATGGAGGAGGGTTTTTTCTCTCTTTTTTTCTCTTCAATTCAGGCAGAAGAGAGAGAATTAATCTCAAAAGATTTTTGTCTGTATTCAGACTTCCCTTATAGGTCAGTGGAGAGAATTTGGTATTTTGGCTGGAAATTTCCAACCTCTTTTAAATATATATATTAGGGCGAATGAAATACACTCCTAAAGAACTTCTTTTATATTTGCACAGATGTAGGTGAGATGAATCCCATATATTTATAAAAGCAACATGTGTTTCTTGATTGTCTCAATGTCAATTTTTTCCCTGAAGCTCAGAGCTTTCACAGACAGCAGAGATGATATGGCGCTGGGCCACGTAGTTGTTCTGCTTCAGCATGAGTGGCCGAGGGGTGAGAACTTGTTCCTGAAAGCCATCAACAAAATCTGCCAACAAGGAAACTTCCAGTATGAGAATTTTTTCAACTATGTCACAAGTATCCTTTCTCTAACCAAGAATGACTTTCACATCCAAAACTATGTGCTGGGGCGTTGAAAAAGCTGTTAGATAATTTCAGCAGCAGCTCTCTCTGTGAATCATATTCGGTATTTATTTCCATACCATGCAAGCCTCTTGTAATAGGTGGCAGTGCACAACGAACTACAAATATGCCTCCTGTCACCTGTTCTGGCACTTGAGAGCACCCTTAAGTACATTGCAATTGTACTTCCATTCAGAAAAACAGCAGCAGCTTAGGCTGCTCGTGCAAGTGATGGCAGTCTTTTCAGTAAGATATATAGGGCATTATATGACAAGGTTTTTAAGAAAAACGATAAAGCAGTACCTATGCTTCAAAGAGTTGAGTGATTTTGGCTATTGTTTATGAAATGCTTTGTGTGGGTAAGATTCTTGGGTTGAGTAAGATAATGAGCTATGTCAAAGTTCATGCAAAGCATATCTGATTTCTGTATTCAGATATGTGACATATGCTTTGATCAGCATACACACACGTGGACAGTTTAGTTTTTAACCTAAATAGACATCCAGCCATGGTCTCCAGGAAGCAAGGGGTCTTACTCCTATCTGAGACAACTAAAAAAGCTCTGGTGTTAAAGGAAGAAAAAAAAAAAAGAAAAGCTAAATAAGGGACCAAAGTAGAAAACTAAAAAGGGTGGGTAGAAAACTAAAAAGGGTGGTATGTGCCACCATGGTGGCATTTCGTTCAGTCCCAGCCTCAATATGCCCTGCTTTGATAACCTGCAATGCAGGAAAAGGAAGTAAAAACAACCGGGGAGTTTGGAGAGATGAGCTTTCTTTACCTCTGTCTGACTGTACATGTGAAGAAATGAAGGAAGAAAAGAAATTGACTGATGTGTGTATTTTGCACTTTAAGAAAAGCCATTTCTCATTAATTTGTGGAGGATTAGGAATACATACTGTGATCTTCTTTATCACTTTTAAGAATGAGATACTTCAATAGCTGTTAATTTTTACTGTCCTTTCAGCAATGTGGCTTCAGATGTGAGGGATAAGAAGGAATGTTCTCTATCATTTTTTCCCTACTCAAATCTTTAACGTTTTCTTCAGATATTGATATGTTGGAGGAATTTGCTTATTTAAGAACACAGGAAGGAGGGAAAATTCATTTGGAACTGCTGCCAAATCAAGCAATGTTGATCAAGTAAGGATAAAAAAGAATTTACTATTTTCTTTGAAACAAAAAAAAAAGGGAGTATGTTCCGGTTGTCTTTGCTTTCATGTAATCTTCTGGATAGTAAGTTTGTCATGTCTTTGAGTTTAAATTTAAGGAGATGGCTAAGGAGTTCAAACAAGGCCTTGAGTTTCTTTTTCTGACTCTCCTGCTGATCTGTGAATTCTTTTTTGGGGGTTTTTCAACTTTAAACTCCTACTTTTACAGAACTTTATTTTTAAGTGTGGCATTTGCTTTAGAATGATTCATGTTAAAGTGATTACAGTATTGCTCTTTCAACCAGATACTTGCACTTTGCAGGCATTCTTTAAATAACTAGGCATGAGTGCAAGGTGTTGTTAATAATTTTGCTGAACAGTAATGCTGAACAGAAAGCTGTATTTGTTGTAAACAAAGTTACGAAAGACCACTGAATGATTAAAAACTTAGGTATAAAACATAAATTAAATTACACTCCAGGTAAACTCTAATAACCTTTCTGTCAGAACTAGCAGGTCATCTCTTGCTATGTACATAACCAGTTTATTCTGCTTAGCTTATTACAAGATGCTGAAAGAAATTAATAATTTGGATTAATTTCCTAGGTGTTCTTAGTTTTGAGTCAAGACTGAACAAGTATCTGCTGCAGGGTTTTAGTGGCAGAATGTTTTGCAATATCCTGGTTGTTTATTAGAACTTGTGGTATTTTGCTTTATAAGAGGGGGACTGCTAAAGTTTGTTGAAATTCCAGTTTGGGTCAGTGTATTCTGGCTATTCACTAACTAGAAATGGGCTAAAGTTTTCAAAAAATGGGAGCCTAACATTAGACAACTGGATCCAAATTTGGACTAGTAAATAGATTTTCCAGAGTTCTGGGTAACCAACACAGAAATGAGATACTAGGTGTAATTAAAGAAAAGAAAAAGAAACACAAATGCTTAATTGTGTGACAGAGAATTTTCTCTATTAAGCTCTAGATTTTCAAACTCTTACCCTTGCTATATCTCACTGCTTGTAACCAGCTGTATGAAAACAAGAATTAGGATATGTTGCGCTACATGTGATATTAAGTAATAAGCTTTGTCAGCAAGAGGGCTTAGCACTGAAGACTACGCCTGGTAACTTCTTAGCTGCTATCTCAAGTTAATTGCAATAGTTCAGCGCTATTTCTCTGCGTCATGGCTTTTGTTTTGATTGGCGTGGTAGCTGTTACTTACTGTTCTGACCCCACCAGTCAGGAAGTAGGTAGTGAGCAGTGTTTCTAGCAAGACAGAAATCTCTCTTTGACTTCCTTTTGACCAGTGTTATGTTTCCTGAATGATGGAAATGCTTGTGGAAGAGAGGTCCATTTCTTTGTGCTTATTGAGCCAAAGCGGTCAAATATCCCATCCAGCTGGAAAAGTGTACAGTATCTTTTATGTGGCTGAGATGTGTAGGACAGGAACCACTTCATCAGAGAGCTGATGGGAGGGAGAGTTCAGGGCTTAGGCCACTAATTGGAGATGACGTCTACTCTCCTGGTACTCCAGATATTGTTTTAGCTGGACTGGCTGTGAGACTCAGGGATGGTGTCACCCAACAGTGTTGACCTCAGCAGCACTGGTTAGCTCACCGCCTCCCCCAGCTGGGGTTTTAGATAAAGGGCACCAGCACAGCCCTGTTTCCTGGGACAATGGTTGGTAGGCTCAAAATCTGTGGACTGGCTTTCATCTTTCAAAACTATCACCAGTTCTGGTTGTATGAGCTGCTGCACCATCCTCCCAATAATTAGCAGAGGCAGCTCAGATACTGTTCAGTCATGCACAGGAAGACTCTGTGAGTTTGCCACAGCAGCCCAAAGACAAAGCAGTTGCTCCTTTGCCTGATCTTTCCTTGGCATAAATGTACATAGCAATCCTGCATCTTAATTGATGGGAAATGTATTACAGATATTACATGTTTTCTATAAGGACAGCTTTTTGTTTCGTGACTTATAGGACATTTTCTCCTCAGGTGAATTCCACATTCTTCTTCCAGTACTTTTCTTCAGTACCTTACACTTCATAGGAAATTCTATTCATTTTTCTGAACCCAGGAAAGCAAACTGCAATGTGGTTTTCAAAAGCTGAAGTAAGATCTTGGTAGTCTGCAGACTTATAATCGGGTCCTGCAAAATATATATACAGCTTGTAAGCTTTCCCTTTGCTTCTATCCATTGTGGGAATATGAAAGTCCATGGTTTTGGTTTTAACTGGTGATATAGCCAGCTCATTCTGTTTGCAGTGTCAACAAGACTTCTACGATGAGCTCTGAATTCAACCACTAAGTGCTTTTGAACTCCATTCTAGACAAGCCAAGTTTCATAGTTTTACTGATTATACATGTCAGTAGTGGCAGTATGTTAGCTAGTGAGGTTAAAGAGGAAAAGAACAATATGCAAGAAATGACTGATTAATATCGTGCTCCTCTTTTTGATAAATCTTACTCCAGTTAGTCTAATCTTAGCCTACCAAACTGTGTAAACTTGATGTGGAAGCTCTTGCGTGTTCTGCCTCTACTCACATTCCCATCACATCTCCCTTTGGGGACAGAGGAGGAAAAGCTCAGTTGGTTTGAAGTGAAACCGTCTTGAAAGTGTAATTTTTATTCTGATTGTGCCTGTGGGTATGTTTAGTTCTGACTGCAGATCTTGCAACAGTAATGAAGGCACAGTTGCGCAGAACCCCTTTTGCAAACATCTGGGACTCTGGGACCAACAACATCTTGCTGTTCCTTTATATTTTCTGTTCCCTGTGTCCATTTTTGCAAGTACTGGACTCATTCATGCCAAGAACTCTTGAAAAATTATCTCATTTGATTGAATAATTCTTGTTACTATTTTATTTCAGGTTATTGTAGCTGTATTGTAGAGTGTTTCTGCACTACTAAAACGTCCAGTCTTTATTTGACTTTTATAAGCATAGCTCTCCATGCATATTCATTAATAAATTATAGATACTAACCCAAATGCCCACCAGTGAGATCTGAAGGTAGGCACCTAACTCAGTATTATAGGTATGTAAGTGTGAGTCTTGCTTCTCTGCTCCCTTCTATGGTGAATGATGCATTCAGTACTCGGGTGCCTAATAAGATTTAGGTGACATTTTGAGAGACTTAGGTTAAGACACTAGACCTTTTCTCTATATACCAAATTTCTCATTTCTCCTTAGGTGGGGTATTGGATTTGCTCTAGGCTGGACGTGTGAGGTTATTATCTTGTGTTGTAGATAGCACAGAGAGATAAGGACTTAAGTTCACAGAGAAGACAAACTGTCTTTTAGCTGAGACACCTTTTGGTAGCTAGTTCATGTGGCCCTGGTCATAAATGGGAGGTTGCTCTAAGTGGGCATTTGTGCTCTGACATTGTGCCAACCTTTAACAGCCATTTTTATATGCAGTTTGAATTTGAAAAGGTGAAAAAGGCCATCTGTGGGCTAATTAAAAGATACTTAGGCAACCTGTAACAAACACTGTCATGTACTCAACTTGGCCGATACCTGCTGTGCATGCACTTGGCTTGGGCTCAGCAGCAAATCCATTAATTCCAAGTTGTGGGCTCTCCTGATTCACTGACGCGCTCTTGCCAGCTCCGCAGGGAAGTTGTGGTATCTGCAGTGCTTCTCTGATTAAATCTTTCCTGATTGACACGCTTCCTGGGAAGAGCTACGACAGTTCATCGTAGTACAACTGTGAATTGTTTTTGCACCTACTGCTGTCCTTTCTCCCAGTGTAACTGTCCAAAAATATGTGTATATATTTAGACCACAGTTGCAGAACAGCCTTGCAATGAAATCTGGGGATATTTGCATGTTTGATGCTGTTAGGGTCCTGCACCCCTTGGGCTGCTCGGTGGTCATATTGCTCTGTGGTCTCACCCCAGTTCTTTGTTGCTCCTTTTTCTGGAGAGTTGTTTTGCACCAGAGGGGGAGTTGGCGTGTGGGTGTTTGAATGCTGCTATTTGCTGTTTTTTAAAGGACTTCTAGCCCTCCCATGGGGTTACTGCGCAGGAATTCATACCTGTGCTACAGCCCAGCATACAGACTGCTGACAGGTACCAAGTGGAAAAACCCCGCTCATAGTGTGCTGTGTTTTGTCAACATGTTTTACTGCCCATGATTTTCAGCAATTTGTTACTCAATATTTATCTTTTTTTTTCCTCCATTTGTGCCCACATTGCCTGGCAAACCATGTTGTTCTATTATAACATTTATTTTTCTTTTTCCCATAAGTTGCCAGTATCCGTGTCCTTTCAATTTAATAATCATTGTTGAATTTAAACAGAAATGTAGAAATCCCCCAAATTGATACCAATGTTCAATCACGTATTAGCAAAAGTATAACCTTTTCTTTTCAAGATACTGGTTACTGGATCCGTTTGTAGCTACTTTTCATCATTTAAGTTGTTCTGAATTCTGTTTTCTGTTTTCCAGCTGTTACATGACACACATCTTCAAAAGTGCTGCTGGCTTGCTCAGTAGCTGTAGGTTGCATATTCTCCTTTAGGTTGTAACTGACCATAACACTCAGCTGCCAGCAATGTTTAAGACAGTAAAGATGGAAAACAGGGCTTATCCCATAACTGTGAATATGCTGGAGTATTTTCAGTGCAGTTTTGCTTCACTCAGCCTAGCTCATCAACGAATTGCCCACTAGTCTCCAGGCTAGTGTCTTCTTTGCCTTTTCCACATGTTACAGAGGTCTCTACTGTTTTGGCAGAAAAGTCTCTTCTCAAATGCTGGACTTGCTGATTTAAGTGAAGGTGGGGTGGTATTGTTGGTGAGGGTAATTCTCAGACTTTTCCCTTTCTCGTTTCCAGCATCTCTAGATTGCCATAGATGCCCTCACCCTTTATTTTTTATTTCCTTTCTGTCTTTCAGTGTGCTTACCGGGTTTGGTCCAGCTCTTCCGTTCTTACCCATGACTCAGGGTTAGCGTTATGCTTTTTTCTCTAATTTAATTTATGCTGCTCCTTTAGTAGTGCTAGGGCTCTCATTTCAGGGCATATCTTTTGCTTCTCTTCCCAAGTAGGGCTTGCAGGTAGATGTTACAAAGTCTTGATCTTAACCAGTTCTGGACAACTGCAAGTAAAGTGTAGTGCTTTGGCGCTGCAGAAGGACAAGATTTAGGTATCGAGTGCTACAGGCCAGCGTGAGGACAAAGAACTGTTCATAAGAACGGCCTTTAACAAGGCAATATCCCAAGAGTTTCCCCAGCCAGCATCGCTTTAGCTTGCTCAGTAGCTGGACCTTTGTTCTGTCCTGAACTTCTGCTCAGAATAAATGTAATCCCTGCCTGGTGTCTAGTATCTCCACAAGCTGGCTTCTACTGACACAGACTCACAGCCTGGCTTGACTTGGGCTTTGTGTTGGCCTGTGAAGTGTTCACTGTGCCCTTCAGTAGTCAAAGAGTTATCAGTGCCCACAGGATTATACAGCTCCTTCCTGCACTTTCTTACTGGTACAAGATGACCTCTGCTCTTTATGGTGGCAGCCATCTGTTCCCTTCCTCCAGAGAAAGCAGGTTCATCTTTTCACTCTTCTTTCAACCCCAACCATTTATAGAAGTGATTACAAAGAGGAAGTGGCCTGGGCAGCAAAGGTAGAGAGAAAAAAAAAATGCCTTTCGCCAAGCAAGGAGAAGTCTGTACATGCTGGGTTAAGAGAATAGCCAGAACAGCAACTTTTTTTTTCCCCCCAACAGTCATAATCAAAGCAGTGAGAGCATGGACTTCTGTGGAACTTCTAACTCTTGAAAGACTTGTAAGCTACTAAACACATGATTTTTAAAAAATAGCATAGTACGGGCTATTTGGCTTTCCTTATATAAACTCGGGTATGGACAGTAGATACATAGTGACATGCACCACCTTTTAAATTACTGTAGTGCACCAAATAACCGTTATTTGATTTTGTTTGTCTCTCTTTCCTTCATGGCTTAAGGCATCATACAGTTACCCGGGGTATAACTAAAGGAGTGAAAGAAGATTTCCGCCTGGCCATGGAGCGCCAGGTCTCACGCTGTGGGGAAAATCTCATGGTGGTCTTGCATAGGTTCTGCATTAATGAGAAAATACTGCTGCTTCAGACTTTTGCTTGAATGGACTGGACCATGACGCAATGTCTCTTACAGAGAGCGGGGAAGGCTCTTGATTGTGTGAACAGCAGCGTGGCAGTGGAAAATTACTTGTCCAGAGAGTCAAAGAAGTTCCCTATGAGTTACAGGTTCTGCAATACACAAACACTACTCAGTGTTTGTTCACCGCTTAGTTTTCTTATGTGGGTAGATCAAACTTTATAAATAAAACTTTGTTTAAGAAGTCTTCTGTCATGTCCTGTTTGTTTTGGGTGTTTTTCCATAAGGTGTGTGTCTTAGTTCTTTCCATCTTTATACATACACAGAGAACATAGCAGGGTATCTCACATTTTTTATTAGCACTAATTTGGAAATCACAGAATGAGTGAATTTCCTGAGTTTCCAAAAACTATTATCTTAAATTGAATTGGTCTGCTATCTCTTCCTTTTTGGCTGAATTCTACCTGTATTGCTGGTTTTCAGATTCAGGGCCCTTCTGTAAATCCATTTATAAAGAGGATTGCTTTGATCGAACTTTGGTAATATCCAAATGATTATACAAAGTCAATAGGAACTGGCCTTTCTGCACTCTTAGAGTGTAGCACGTGAAACTGAGACCTCATCCACGCTAGAGGTATGTAACACAAAGGCCCAGAAGATGCACAGGCGGGCTGCTAAACAGCAGCATGCTGATTAATAAGCCAACAGAAGAGATCTTTGGCAGCAGGCTGCAGCAGGATCCTAAACCGTAAGTTTTTGATCCAAGACCAAATTGGAAGAACACAATGAAGAATGATCAGCTGAATCACCACTTTCCACAGCACGCTGTAGCACACAGGTGCCCCTGAGCTCTCCCAGACAGTCACTGCACTGCTGACCCAAATGCAGGGCTGAGGGTGCTGCCAGTGCTCCCGAGTCAAAAAGGTGGCCGAGTTAAATGTGTGCCAGTAGCCGGAGTGGCACAGGCATGCGGCAGGTGCCAAGGGTATATACAATCCCAGACCACGTGAGTTAGGGGGTGCCTTGTCAGATGTGACAACGGTTACCACAGTCCCATTCTGATAACCCCTTGCAGTCACCACCCAGATCCCTTGCAGTTCCTTTCATAAGCACCATCAGGCTGTCTTTGCCCAACTGTTGCAATATGTTCAGTTTCTCTATATGAAGGAGGGAGATCAGTAAAATATTTACAAAATATAGAAAACAGAAAGAGAGCAACTGCACCAGACTAGTAAGTTTTTGCTAAATAGAAAAATACTGTCCCTTAAGTCACATAAAAGTCTTGATGACAGCTTCCATGGCACTGTAAACTTGAACTAGTATCCCTTTTCAGTAATACAGCCTAGCACGAATGGCAGTATTTCAGGCTAATCCACCTTATGCACTTGCCCCATCAGAATCTAGGCCTGCTGCACCTTGACCACCTCTATCAGATTTTCCAGAATATCCTTCTCCTGTAAAGTAAATATGATATTATGACCCAAAGAGTTGTTGCAATGAGGTTTTGAGTCAGATGCTCTGCGTGGGATTGACTGTCTTGCATCTTCCACTTAAAAGGGAAATAGTTTTCAAACACTTCGTGTCCAGTGTAGACCAGGATTGAGTTCATTCCTGAAAGTAAGCACAGGTCATACCATCTGAAAGAGCAGGTATGAGCTTGCTTCAAAGTAAGCAGGCAGAGGCATGCCAGGCTTATGAAACAGAGTGGCACCAAGACAATGACACCTAATCACAACAGCTAATGTTACTTGCCCCAAAGATGCTACACACATGTGTTTTCAAATACAATCTGAGGGGTCCTCTCCTCCAAAACGTTTATTGAAAAGAAATACAGACAACCTATATGCTAAATTGAAAATACAACCAAATCAGTATCCTGCGATTTTATTGGCAAGGAGAATAATCACAGTTATTGTCTTTAGGGTGGCTGAGTGCCAACCTATTTGGTCAGATCTATTGCCTTTACAAACAAATGCTGACTGCCCTTCAAAGCCCTGGGATTTCTGGTAGGAGATATGATACCATGCTGTCACCCTACCCATCTTCCTGTCCAGATACCAGACACCAAAGCTGCTGAAAGGTTCCCTCTGCTGTGGGTTTGCATTCTGTACTCAGATGTTTGTCAAGAGCCCAGTGTGGTTAAAACCACAGTGGGATGCTTCGGAAGACAGGCTTATCAAAAAACACAGAGCCAGAACCTACATAGCTGCCCAGGGGACTTCGTCTTCCACATCTTCAGAAGTGGTATTACTCTGTTGACAGGCCTTTCAGTCTCCCATTAGGTTACCCAAGTCTCAGCAGTTCTTTCCAAAACCAACTATGAACTAGCTGTGGTATTTTGCTTGGTACTAGGCAGCTGTTCCCTGGGACCTTAACTCGAGACCAAACTGAGAACGGTAATTTGGCAACAGCAGCTTCCAGCCCTCATTTAAAGACCTGACAGTCCCTCTCTCCTAAATATCTGGTCTCGAGTGTCCCAATTCTATGCAAAGATTCAGCTCAAGTTAATCATTCTGGCATCCTTCAGGTTACCTCATTCTAAATCCAACTCTTTTAAAGACAAGGGAAGTGCAGAAAACATAAAAGTATCAGTGCAGAAAGAACTGGAAGGAATATGCTTCCTGCCATGATTTTACTGACCTGGGTAGAAAAACGGAGCCCCTGACCACAGTCTCTTGACATCCACAAGGTAATACATCAGCAATAAGAGGATGAAGGCAAAGCAGCTCATTGTTGTCACATACGATATTGACCTACACACATTTTCAGTAGAAAGATTATTTAGAGAACTATGTGATACAAACAGATCTCAATATAAGAAAGGTAAAACATTCTCCAAGGTAAAATAGTACTTTAACAAAATCATACTAAAAGTTGTATCTCTTTGCTTACCATAAGTTTTTGTTTATAGGAATAAACCCTTCTTCTTTAGAACATTTTGTCAAGATAGCAGAAATAATTCCCTGAAACAGAAAGTTGCTAAAGTTTATATAACCACTGCAACATGTTTCAGAAATACTAAGTTTGCGTTGCATAAAAATACATGTCCATTAAAGAGCTACATAACTATCTGACTTACCATTACTATGCTCCATATGAAGAACCGACTCATAATTTGTTTGTGCTGGTCTTTGTAGAACAAGATAATTTTTCCTGCCTGATATAAAAAGAATACAAAAAAATGAATTAATGGCCATAAATGTAACTACATTTCAAGAGCTGGATACATTTGGCACCAGCTACCTGTGCTAAGACGGAGAACATGAACAGGATTTATATCAACTAAGTGGCTCAAAGGCTCAGAATGGGAACTCTTTGCAAAGAATGGACACGGATGGGGAAAACATGTAAATGCAACCCACTCAGCAATAGAGGTGCACCTTTTCTCCCTTCCCTACCATGTTAACACTGAGGAAGGGGACAAGCAACTTTGTTAGGTTAACACAATGTGACTCGAGCTCCATCTCCCTCAGCAAGGATTGCGCGAAGGAACAACGCCACATCAATTCCCCAGCTAGCCCCAACAGCTTCTCCACAGCGCCACGTCGCACCCTGGCCTGTTGGGAGCACATGCTCCTTTTCACACACTACTAAGAAATGTGTCCTGATGACTCATTCCGTGTCACGCTTCTGTTCCAAGCTCTGCCCTGTAGAAATTCCCAATCAATTTTTACCCAGTGCTACATGCAGTAACATTCCTTTCCCAGCACAAGAGTTTCAGTTTGGTTAACAGCTGCTGCACAGACAGAAAGGCCAGCAATGACTAACTAGAACTGCATGAAAAAGCATCATGATATCCTATTTTAAACACGGTGGTGAGCTGTGAGCTTTTGATGTTGGTAACACTAATGTCAACCCCTGCCTCCCTTGTGTCTGGGAAGATGAACACACCCATAGCACCTAAGCAAGTTGGCTAACACTGCATTCAAGCAGAAAACTAGCAACGGAGAACACGTACAGCTATGACCTTTAAAACCGTATGTTTAAAATGAAGCTGTGAAGTCTATGCGTCTCTTGGCCCTATTTTCCAACATGCAGAGCCAGCCTACTCCCAGCATAAGCCCAACCTTAAAACAAGCAAAGGAAGTTTCTGGGTGGATACTTTGCAAACTTCTTGTGTCTGTCCCTTACAAAAACTGAGAAAAAGTCTTGGTTTATCTAATGCAAGCTACTGCCAGGCTAGATTCCACTTCTCTGACACTCACCTCAGGCTAAATCAGCCTGAAAGCATTGCTCGGGAAAAGGTTTTGTTAGAACCAGTCTCAGCCTTAAATAAAGAAACCAAGTTGCCTCCCTACTTCCAAGATTCCTTCAAATCTTCCCATTATAGCACACAGCCAGAAAGAAAAGAGGTACCTGCAGTCCCAGAAATGCCATAAAAATGGTATTTATGGTTCCCAGGATCCCCTCAGGATCATATGGCATTGTTGTTTGGTAAATCACCTTAGAGAGAAAACAGTTGTTACAGGGCACCTGAGCAACCAATCTCCTTTCTCTTCCATCCCCCTGCATGTATCATTCCCAAGCCCCTCCTGACAGCTATGTTCAGTGCTTGCCTGCGGCTTCATACTGCAAACCAAAAGCTACTTACACTTGAAGAGGGATGCTGATATATATGCTTTTCTCCAAGTAGCAAACGATCAATGTAACCAGCCGCTCCTCCAGTGCAGTTGGGATAGTTTCCAAAGTCTCCAATGCCCCCAGGACCAAGATAGCCCCTAGGACAGAAGCAAACAGGTTATGGCACAAAGTGTTGGAACACTCCGCCTGAACAGGGGTCCACTGGCCCAACACACTAAATGCTCAATGTTTTCCCTGGCCAGAGGCACACAGGGAAACACAGGTCCTACATGACAGCTGGCTGGTGGCCACCCTGTTTTGATCATCGCAATGCCACGATCAGCTGGGTCATGAGGGGGCAGGCAGTATCGGGAGCCTAAAGCAATGCTTCAGGTTAGCCCTGGCTAGCCAGCTGGCTGCTCCACCTGCTCTGCAGGTGCTGTCCCTTTAAAGGGGCAAAGACAGAGACAGGGGTGACATTGTGATGATCACATATCGCTGTACACAGACCTCAGGGAGATTTTAATTCTCTTCTTTAGATAGAAAGGAACAATCATGTCACCTTTATAACACCAGGTACTTCAGTACCAAAGTAAAGAAAGTTTTTTCACATGATGAATGCTTCCCTTAACCCAGC